TAAGTCTGCTATTAGCCCAACTGTCTGACAAGAAATTACCCTTAAGACTCATGCAACACATGCAATGATGCCAAAAACAGGAAGGTCACTGGTGAGTGGGTAGAAAGTCTTGTGTGTCCAGTAGCTGGTGTGGGTTTCCACGTGGCTTCTCCACCTCCAGCTCTCTGGTTCCATGAGCATATCTCCATGTGGCTTGTCAACAGGGATGTCTAGCAGGGAGACTATCAGAGAGTGAGTGTGTCCAGCCTCCAGTGAGCTATTTACCTCTCTTGCACCCCCAAATAGGGTCATCAAGCTGTGACCTGATTGACAGTCACAAGTTGACAGATTATGTAACTTCCACATGTCAAATGCTATTAACATGAAGAATACTTCCATGCTTCTCATTTGGATTTGTTGAGGAAAACATGCAAATATTTGGAATATTGGCTGACATGAACTAGATGCCCAATAAATATTAGGTTAATATGTATCTATTTCTAACGGGCTTGCTCTATTTTTTCACTATACTTTGGTTAATAGATAACTTTTATTTTTAAAAGGAGAAAAGATTGACATTTAAGCTAAATTACATACAGTTTCTCCTTTGCAAGCAAAGTATAGTTATTTTTAAATGTTGTCTTCTAACTACTTGTTTCAACATGAAAACATTTATTTTTACTTAAAAAAACTAACAATAAGTCATCTAATATATAAAAAAGGTAAAATGAAAATTTTATTTGTATTTGCTTCCTTCTAATTAATTAATTAAAAATATAGCAGATCATTTCGTAGTTTAATAATGTCAAGCAGAATTGTACAATTGCTACCACAGTTTCCAAACTTTCTTTTTCTACATGAACTCCTTGACATCCAAATTTTAAAGCTATGACAAAGAGCACATTTTCCTGAGTGATTTTTAAAGGTAAGTGGTTGATACATGTACAACTACATATCTGTAAATTACTTTAGGTTTCTGTATAAGAAAAATGCCTACATGAAATTAATGAGGACTGGTGGAGGTTTACATGTGCTATTCCATTTAATCATAAGCTAAGAAAGAGATGAGAACAAGGAGGTTCTACATCCCAAATTAAGGAAAGGTCTATGAGCATTATGCCATTCCTCCAGAAAATAAATTCTGTCACATATCAGAGGAATCAAATGTAGTACATTTCAGGGGTTTACAAATGTGTTCTTTTTTTCTTGGAGAAAAATCCCATTAAAGTAGATTTGAATTACTTCAAAAGAAGTATATGGTAGTGTCAACTGTCATTGACATGAAGGATACTTCCCTGCTTCTCATTTCATTACATTTGCATCAAATTCTATGACTTTTGTTTATGATCAATAACCAGTTTCTTCAAAGAGCACTCATAGGTTACGACCCAGTTTGCTCACAGTAATGACGAGTCACTGGAATGTGCGGCACCTCTATTTGGATCAGTTCACTGAGTCATCAATTTTCAGAGGCCCCCGATGGGCTTGCTGTATTTCTCACTGTCCTTTGACTAATGGAGAATAGGGCTCATAGCACAGTTTAAGGCAAACATCAGTTTTAGTTTATAGACAGCCGTTTCTCTCATGAAAATGCATTTTTTGGAATTAGGATTAAATATGTTTACTAGTAGTCAACTGACGGATAAGCTCAACTGACAGAGAAAAGGGAGATGGAATGGCTGTTAAAATACAGTTGCATGATTGGCAATTATAAAGTTTGGGAAATAAGTTTATTTAAAATTTTAGATTCTTAAACATATAATATGGTATATGAATATTTATAAAATATATTAATAAAAATATTTACAACTTTCTCACTGACAATTTCTTATTTGGATTATTCTGTCAGCAAATTAATATAATTTCTTGACATCATCTCTTCAAATATGTGTTGCTT